ACCACTATTATAACCAATGAGGAAAAATCATTTAGAGGCAGCAGCATCTATGTCCTGGTGGGGTCTGTATTCATATCTATCTCCTAATATTCATGGTATTTGTGCTAGAATACCTATGTCTTATTTTCTGGCTTTTCTTTTAAAATGTATTTTTCTATGCCTTTTCTCTCTCTTTTTTTAAATTTACTATATGTGCATTAGTGTAAAGGTGTCAGATCCCCTAGAACTGGACTCATAAACAGTTGTGAGCTGCCATGTGGGCGCTGGGAATTGAACCTGGGTTCTCTGGAAGATGACGCTTAACCTCTGAGCCATCTCTCCAACATATATATTCCTTTAAAAGTATAAGTTAGGCTTCTATTATTATCAGCTAATTTTAAGGGAGTCTTTGCTCATGTGTTAGCCCTTTACCAAAATTGGGGGAGGGGCAGTGTCTACATACAGTGACTGCACTAGGTTCTTCAGGGCTCCAACTCATATCCAACTCCCATGACTGATAGCTTTGTTTTTCCTCCCAGATCCTTATTCAGCATTATTTTGCTCTGCTGTGTAGCAACTAGGAAATGTATTCGTTAAAAATATTTAGTAAGCCTTTTTAATAAAACAAAAATAAAAACATTCTTCCTGGGTAAACAGATTGAGCAAAGAGATTCATCCAGCATGAACAGAAAGTAACATATCACACGTCACAGAAAAATCCATCTGAAAATGCATTGAGATACTGTTTACTTTGGTAAAATTGTAGGACGAACAAAGAAAGTAGAAGCCAATTTACCTTCACGTGTGTCCTTGCCTGTCATCAAAAAGTGTCAAAGCATGTGAGCCCAGACAGCAGCCTGAAATGGGAAGCCAGCTGCTTTCCTTGCTGGTTTTTGCTTCTGCTTTGTTTTTGTATTCAGTAGTTTTGCTGTGTTGTAGAACTGAATTCTACGAGGTGGACAGAAAACAGGCTGGTATGAAAGAAGGAGTTCGAGCTAGCACATTATAACGCTCACAGAGGTAGAATGGTTGGAATGGTCTGCTGGCACCTGATGTATTATTGTGCTGAAAATAGAAGTGCTCACTACTGCAAGCATCAGGGAGCACACATCACTGCTTCTCTATTCTACATCCACAGCCCTCCCAGTTCCTTTGCTGCTGAGCAGCCC